GGCTCACATCTTGCTAATAACTTGGCAGAAAATGACACAAATTTACCAAAATCAATCTGTAGAATCATTAACAACATCACAAGGTCCACAAAAGACACACAAGATATTCTCATAGGCAACATGAATGGAAAATGGTCACAAACAATGAATGATGTCGCTAGCTGCATTAATAAAGGCAGTTCAGTTGTTGTCACTAACTTAACGAACGTTATGAATGAAAAAAGATTGAGGAAAGCTTCAGTAATTGTCATGGCATTGGATAAAGCTGATAAGGTATGTTTGTGTCAGGTAAGACTTAATTCCTAAAGTTTGATATTCTTTTATAGGACATGATTGAAGACATCATAATAAATCACGCATATTCAACAATTTGGCATCACATGTCCAAAGTCATTGTCATCATTCCCAGCACAGCAACTACAAAAGTACGTGATTTAATTCTCAAATTGTTCATTAAGTATGGATTCTTTAATGTCGTTACTGTGCGTGAGAATCAGCAAGGCAACATCGAGGTTAGTTTAGTTCCAACCTTATCAAGGATTGTTGAGTCAAAACTCAATTTGGAAGATGGTTCAAAAATCTTTCCTGATAAGTTGAAGGATATGAAACGTTACATTTATAATATTCCGGTTTATGTCCAAGCTCCATTGGTTAAGTTTAAGAATATGAGCATCTACACGCCAATGCTGCATTTTATAGATGCAGTCTGCAAAAAACAAAATGCACGACAAATGTTGCACCTTTTACCAGATCCAACTCAATTTGTGGACATGTGGAACCAACGAAATATGGACTTGTCTCTCAACACAGCAGTTATTTTGAACAATCCTGAGCCGAAACTGATGAACTATGAAAAAAGAGCATTTTGTGCCTTAATTCCAATTCCACCAAAAGTATCTTCATTCCGGTTTTTGGTCATCATGCCATTTGACTATCTTATTTGGATTCCATTGGTCCTCTCAATAGCTGATTCCTTCGCTGTTTGGTGGCTCTACCGTGGTCGTGGTGCTATTGACTCTCAATGGCTACTTCTAGCTGAGATTTTCAAATTGTTCTTCGGTCAAGGCTTCACATTATCAAGAAACAATCATTTCATGCTCTTGACACTGATGCAACTGATCTGCTGGTTGATATTCATCATCAGCAACGCCTACGAAAGTGAAATCACGTCCTGCATGATTGAACCAATCTATGAGAATCGATTAAAGACTGTTAGGGATCTTAAATCTTCTGATTATGAAATCATGTCTGATGAAGGATTTGAGTACAGCATTAATGAGTATGAAGGCTTTGAGGAACTTAGGTCAATGATAACAAGGACGGATCTTCATTTGCCAGGACAATTTTGGAAGGAAGTCATTAAGCAGCACTTTGTACTCACAACAGACTGCGATGTCCTGAAAAATGACCTGAAATTCAGACTAAGGAATGGACGACTGGTTTCTGACTATTACTACTTGCTGCCTGAAGTCATTTTATGGAACTATGTACGACTTGAAGCTAGTTTTTTGAATCCATTTATGGAAAGGTTTCAGTTTTACATGGACTTGTCATTTCAAGCTGGATTGCCTCACATCTGGAAGGTTTTTGAGAATCAAGATTATTCAAGGTATCCAGTTCAAGATGAATCACAAATTATGGACAGTTTGAGGTATGAAGACCTGCATGCAGTATTTATAGTCATTGGAATAGGATTGCTGATGTCGGGAATTGTGTTTTTGATTGAGATCTTCTATCATGATTGTTTGAGGTATTTGGATGTCAAGACAATGATTGGAACTTTCTGGAGCTGTTTGAGCAAGTTGTGTGTCCAACTTAAGCATGCAAAGCTAACTGTACGAAAGATTGTTGTTAAGCCAGCACGTGCACATTAACAATATCAGCAATTTAAAGGATTTTTTAAACCTTTTGCTGTGAATTTTGTTTGTCATTCAAGTTGCTGTTGATGTTCGTCAGGATCACCTATATGACATATCCTGTAAAATTAATTATCCTAATAATAAAGCTAGCTTTTCTTGATTGCTAATAAGTAGTTTTATTTCCATATCTATCCCATTTTTTGATAAGATTCATCAACAGCCCTCCGGGTCCAGCTTGTCCAAAATCACTGCGACCAAATACTTTAAAGTCGTTTGTTAACTTCCCTAATGCCAAGCCATCATCAAAAAGCTGTTTAAGTGACTGTTCTACTTCCGGTTTTGGTTGGAAGTACCGATAATCACCGAGTATCATGACTGAAATTGCTGAGTTTGGAAGAAGATTTGTTTGACCAGTTATGTCCCATCCACGGCCTTCGAAGACGATGCCTGGAAAAATTCGTAAATGACATAAGCTTGAGGTCCTTTATGGCACTATTTCCAATTTATATTACCAAGTCCACCAACCAAAAAGTTATAAATGATGTCATTATATTCAGATTTTAAATTGTCAGTCTCGACTTTCTTCACTTCCTTTATACAGTCATCCTTAAAATGTCCTTAATGATCAACATTTACAAGAAAAAAATCTTCAAATCTAGCAACTCACCAAGCCCGAACATCCCTGACTCGTAAGATGGCCAATTATATTCCAATTCATGAGCCTGCTAAATTTTGGTAATACTTTTGGGGTTATTGCTGCCCACTCCTCTCTCCGATGCACTTTGTATACTGAAATAAGGAATGATATTAAGCTCTATGATCTGTTCGGCTGTCTGGCTGTTTGGATGTGTGTGTGTGTGTGTGTATGTCTGGATGTCTGCCTGTCAGTCAGTTACTCACACGAATGATAATTCTTCAAATTCGCAACAGCACCATTAAGTGAATCAGCAGTCACATCTCGATACATCAAGTCATCTTGTGAAAATATCGAATATTGGCTACTAATGTTCCCAGATTCTTGAAAGAACTTGATGAAATTTTCCAGTAAAATAATTTGATCCACCGATGGATGTGTAGACTTGTAATTTCCAATAAATGCAATCATAATTCCAATGCTGTTGTATTCTGTAGCTCCTGTGTTCTTGGTATGTTGTCCTTGATAGCTGAAACCACGACCTTCATAAACCTTTCCATCAACACCGATTAGAAAATTGTAAGGAATATCTTCAAGGCTAAAGTCTTGGGCTTGAATTGATTTTACAGTTTCGATGCAATCGGTCTGGAATTGATCAAATTGGTGTTAAGAACAAGAGGATGCTGACAAGACATCCTTATAACTGCTTACTCATACTCACCACATTAGCACAAAACCGTCCACCTGTGTGCCCAACGATGATTCTCTTTATTGGTGTCTGTAACTTAGTCATATTCTTTGATCTTGGCTGTTCAGCTTCCCAATCATCTCGAGTCATAAAGAATTCTGGATATAGATTTGGTTCAGTTGTAGTTGGCTTTTGGGTTGTAGAAGTTGTTGCTGTTGTTGGAGTTGTTGTTGTTGTAGATGCTGTTGTTGTTGTTGTGTCTTCTAGTGTGGCATCCTCTGTAGTTGTTGAGCCATCAGATAACACAGATGTTGTTGTCTCTTCTGTCGTTGAATTTAAGGGGTCTGTAGTTGGCTCACCTGTTATTGGATCTGTAAGAGTTGTTGATATGGTAGGCTTTAAGGTTGTAGTTGTTGTAGGATTGAAATTTGTTGTTGTTGTTGTTTCTTTAGAAGTAGTTGAGTCTAGAATGGATAATATAATTTGTAATGAACAAAAGAGCTGACTGCTGAGTATATCCTAAAACAGTGATGACCAATCTGAGTGCTGCGGCGCACTAGTGATGAAAAAATCGAGAAATCTCATGAAATGTCTGCTGTGCGTGGTTTTAATCATGGCTTAATACCAAAGTGTGCCGCATAACAAAAAAGGTTGACCACCACTGCCCTATAAGCAGTGCTTCTGAACTTTTTTTGAACTATTAAACACGATTTGTACTTAAAAGTCTTCCCAGGACACAAAATGATATTCACTAGCGTGCCGCACAACACAGTTTGAGAACCACTGTCCTGAGGGCTATGGCAATAAGTTTGCCAAAAACTCCTTCCTGAAAGAGCTTGTACCCAGTAGCAACCACGACCTTAAAATTAAACCCTTACCTGAAACATCATGTTTTTTTCCCCGAATGAAAAAATAGGAAATAACAGATGCAATTGTACACAAAACAGCAACAAACAGCACAAAAACAATCGCAGCTCCTTTTTTGGTCTTCAAAAATTTTATAAAATTTTTTGTAGCTTTTGTCCTTCGGGGACCAGACAGAAATGACGTAAATGAGTTGTTCCTGCTTAGTTTTTGTTCTAGAATATTAAAGTTGGGTCACTAAAACCACGGCAGTTATAAAAGTTTCATACCTGGCGTCGGATTACTATAGTAAGTATTATAAATCACATTAATGTTTTCACTTTTCTCAAATTTCATATGTGGTGGATTGATAGCTTCTACCAGCCGTGATGGTTTGGACAAATCTGCATATTGTCTCATCAAATCAGCAGCAGCAACTGAACTATCGACCGTGGAAAACGAATCACTGCGATGAAATTGATCAAATTTATTTGATGGCTCCAACATTTTAAGTTTTGATGTTAACAAGCCAAGTAGCGTTCAACGACTAATTTTATAATCATTATCTAATCGGGCACTTCAGTATAATTTTTTTTTAAGTTAGCTGAGTTTCGGTATTTTGATTATAATTTAACATTTGCAACATTCCTTAAAAACAAGAAAATGCGCCTTAGCCTCATATCAATCTAGTCTTTTTTACTTGTTTTGCAAAATTGCAAAGGTTTATCAAAAAAAATATTGTTCAATTTACGATAATGAGTGAAATTGTTTTTTAATTATAAATTTATAAAGTCACACATATTGATAAAAATGTAGATCATTGGGTCGATTTTGAGGTTATATCATATGCAATTATCAATCGTGCTTATCAATTAAATACGAATGCAAGCAATCCATTACAGAATTGTTCATGAACTTCTGTAAATGAATTCAATTCTCAACTTTGAGGAATAAAACCTTTATTTCAAAAGCTATCCTAAAATGAAGGCAACAATCTTATTTCTGCTATTTTCATCCTTATTTCTTCTAAACTCATCACGAACACTCAATGTTCTCCAACAACTCTCAAGTGAAGATAACAAAATAATAAATTCCGTTTGTAAAATTGTCAATGACATCACAGAGTCAAAGAATGACACACGAGACATTTTGGTTGGATATATTGGTGGTAATCAATGGTCACAGGCTGTAAATGACGTTGCAAAGTGTATTGCAGATAAGAAAGCTGTTGTTATGACTGATTTCTTGACAATCGCAACGGAAAGTACATTGAAAAAAGCATCAGTGATAGTTTTGGTGTCTTATCAAGCTGACAGGGTGAGTTTAAATATAAGTTTGGTCATCTCGGGTCGAGCCAAGTTTTTTCATCTCGGGTTGAGCTAAGTTTGGTCATTTCGGGTTGAGCTAAGTTTGGTCATCTTGGGTCGAGCTAAGTTTGATCATCTTGGGCGATCTTAGTTTGATCATCTCGGATCGAGCTAAGTTCAATCATTCAGGTCGAGCTAAGTTTGATCATTTCAAGTCGAAAAAAGTTCAATCATTTCAGGTCGAGCTCAGTTTGGTCATCTCGGGTCGATTTAAGTTTGGCAATCTCGGGTCGGGCTCAGTTTGGTCATCTCAGGTGGGTCCAAGTTCGATCATCTCGGGTGGAGCTCAGTTTGGTCATCTCGGATTGAACTAAGTTTTGTCATCTGGGGTCGATCTAAGTTTGATCATCTTGGGCGATCTAAGTTTGTTCCTCGGTTCAAGCTGAGTTTGGTCATCTAAGGTTGTGTTATGCTCAATCTTTTTAGATGAATTCAAAATGTTCCTCCTTTTCAGAACCTGATAAGACAGCTCATCTCAAGTCAGCTATTTTCATCTGTTTGGCACCACATGGCTAAGATTATCTGTATCGTACCTAAATCCACATCAATTTTCCATCGCACTGCAATTTTAAATACATTTGCAAGCCTTGGCTTCTACAATGTTGTTACTGTACACGAAAATGATAAGGACGAAATTGTTGTTGATGTTCTGAACCCTCCAACGGGTAAAATGAGTCTTATAATCAATCCAGATGACAGTGCACAGCTATTCCCAGATAAATTAAAGGACATGGCAGGTTATCCTTATAAAATTCCAGTCATTATTCAGCCACCATTGGTTCAAATTAGAGGTAAACAAATCAGATCACCGATGATTCATTTTTTGAAGGACGTCAGTGAGAAGCAAAATGCAGGCATTCAGTTTACTATTCAACCTGATGGAGCTCACTTGGGCAAGTCTTGGGAGACCCGACAAATGCATCTGACGATCAACACTGCTGCATCATTTGACAATCCTGAGCCGAAATTGATAAATTATGAAAAAAGAGGCTTTTGTGCATTGATTCCGATTCCTCAGAAAACCTTGACATTCCGGATCATGATTATCATGCCATTTGACTATCTCATTTGGGCTCCTTTGGTCCTTTCAATAGCTGGTTCCTTCGCTGTTTGGTGGCTCTATTGTGGACGTGGTGCTGTTGACTCTCATTGGCTACTTCTTGCTGAGATCTATAAATTGTTCTTCGGTCAAGGCTTCACATTGTCAAGGAACAACCATTTCATGCTGTTGACCCTTATGCAGCTGATCTGCTGGTTAATATTCATCATCAGCAACGCATACCAAAGTGAAATCACATCCTGCATGATTGAACCGTTCCATGAGAACCGACTACAAACTGTTGCAGACTTACTGGCTTCAAATCATGAAATTGTAACTGATGAAGGCTTTGCATTTATTATCAAGGACGTCGATGAATTTGAGGCACTAAGGATGATGATCAAAAAGACTGACTTACAACTTCATGAACGATTTGAAGAGGAAGTGACTCAGAAGCACTCAGTTATGATCAGCATGTGTGATACATTTGAGCATGATTTGAACAGATTGCTTGATAATGGACGATATATAAATGATGATTACTACATCCTGCCTGAACCTATTCTATGGGAGTTTGTGAGACTTGAAGCAAGCTACTTGAATCCATTTTTGGAAAGGTTTCAGTTCTACATGGACTTGTCATTTCAAGCTGGATTGCCTCATATGTGGAAGGTTCTTGAGAATTTGGATCAATCGAGATACGCAATGATTGATGCATCCGATGTTCCTGACAGTTTGCGTTTTGAGGATCTTCATGAAGTCTTTAGGGTTTTGGGAATTGGATTGATAGCTTCAATTTTTGTGTTTTTGTTTGAAATTTTTTATCACGACTGTTTGAGATATTTTGATGTTCGAGGTTTTGTTAAGGATTTGAGGATCAAGATGTGCAGTTGGGTTGAAAAGATAAGAATATCAAAGCAAAGAGTGCGGATCATTAAGGTTCAATCTAGAAATAATTAAACATTTACCCTAAACTCAACCATTTGGTTCAGATGAGGATATCCAGGAGAAGTCCTGATTTTAAGCCTTGCAAGCAGTGTCTGCACTTGTGGCTATCAAATAGAATCTTGCAAATTCAACACGTGTTGCTCGGGTAGCAAAGCTTAAAACTTACGAAATTTCCCACTAGCCACACTTTCTATTCTTCTCAACAGCCCACGACACACGGAAGGTCATAAAAACTTTTAAAAACAAATAAAACTTTCGTCATCTTCATCCTTAAATATTTAACGAGGTGCATTTTTTTGGCATGGATATAAATAGCCACAAAGTGTTTTTTGGAAGCTTCAGATCCACTTTTGGAATTGCCAGTGAAATATTTAATTTTTGTGAATTTCTTCAAAATTATTTTTGTGTCAAAAATGAAACTTAACCTCAAATTTTTTATGTGCTTGATTGTGCTTATTTTTGTATGTTTGTCATCAACCGATGCACAAAGTCAAAGCTACGCTGTCAATGATCCATCTGGTAGTGATTATTACTACGATTATTATGACTACGATTATTACGGCTGCTATGGTGATTATTATTATGACAGTTTAGGAAGTGGACCATATGGAGCATCAGCAATGGGATCATCATCGTCGTAGGTTTATAGGATTAAAAGTTTAAGTAGAATTGTACTAAAATCACAGATTATAATTAGATTTTTAAGGAAATTTGGTAAGTTAAAGTCAAAAGAATCTAAAAACTTGGACATGAACATACTGAACATACTCAATGTCACTTTATTGTAACCTTAAATTAAAGCAATTTGTTATGATGAAGTGATTGCCGCAACAATGATTTAGTATGTTCAAAATTCAAATTTCTTTTTAATTCAAGCTTAAATTGACTTAAAGTGAGTTTTTTGGAATGTTACTAGCCATAGTAGACATAAAATTGAGTAGAATAGTTGAAAACCGGAGGCACTAGGCAGGTGTGAGGCTAACTTCAATGAAATCTAGCTCAATGCAAGCCTAGTGCTTCTAAACATAACACATACACTGAACTAAGTCAGAATTGAGACAGTCTATTGAGAGTCCCTTTGGGGTCGTTCACTTATGACGTCCAAGATTTATCCCGGATGGGGGACAGCTCAAACAAATTAAACTTTTCGACAGAGACGTGGGTTCTAAAAAGTTGTCTTTCGGTGAACGTCATAAGTAAATGACCCCTTTGGGGTCGTTCACTTATGACGTCCAACATTTAGGGGGGAAAGGGGGTCTAAAGCTGTGTGACACCTCAATACAAAAGATTTTTTTTGTATGAAAATTTTGTGACAGAGGGGGGGGGGGGGGGGGGAGGGGGGTCTTAAAATCTCATCTTTCGATGGACGTCATAAGTGAATGACCCCTTTCAAAAATCACAAAAAAAAATCTAAAATTAGAATTACTTTTAAGGAATTTTAGTGCTTGTTTTGTAGAGTCAGTACTTTGTATCTATTTTTAAGTTTTGTGTTGTTATAATTTTGCGTTTTTATTTCTGTTAATAAACTGCTTTTCTGTATTTCATCTGATAACATAACCTCACTTGTTTAATTAAGTTTTTGGAGGGGGGGGGGGGGATATTGAATCAAGAGCAGAAGCATTGCTTAAGCACCCTCTGTGGAGTAATTGGCAAGGTGCTTTGCTGATATTTGATGTGGTAATTCGAAGGTCGTCGGTTCGAAGCCAGCCATTTTTAAATGTCGCTCCCTCATCGTCTTCGAGGTGTTTTGCAGAGATCAAAGTTCAGGATGATAAGCTCATTCAAATTAGCTGGTGCTTAACTGAAATTAGGATGATCTGCTTAGCATTTGATAATTTGAAGCGTTCATCAGGGGCAAGGCCAGAATGTTTGTTAAGTGATTCGAAATGCAAGGAGGAGCGATGCGAGGGGACTGACTCTGGCTACGCCTCTAAGTTTTCTCCCCTTTCGATGTATTTTTCTAAAAATTTGCAAAATAATCACGGATATTCTATAAAATAACAGACAAAAGCTTTCCAAAGAGCTTTCAAATGAGCTTTTGAACAGAAAAAAAACTTCTAGTACTGCACTTTTCATTTAAATTTCATTTTATCGTTGTGAAAATCAAGGGATATTTTATTAAGTCAAGAAAAAAATTCGGGTATGCAATTTGATTATTTGCATAATTTTATTATTTTCTTAATTATATGATCAAGGGGAATACAATGTGTTGGGTAATTGTCCAATTTCTAGCCTTAACAAGGAGATTCCATCAGCAATCATTTTCATCGCATTCCGACACAGGAACACATACATTGTTCTTGTTCCTTACAAATCCATCATTACAATAGCATTTATCTTCACATCGGATATTCTGAATTGTGCAGGGCTCCTTGTAGTTGTCACAGGTCTTCTCACAAAGTGGATTTCCACAGGAAAATGATTCGTTTGCTGGACATTCTGAGGAAGACGGGACTAAAATTTGAGGTTATATGATCATTTTTATTAACTTACTTGGACATTTTTCTTTTGGGATGCAAGTTCCATTTTGTGGTCCACGGACATATCCAGTCTTGCAGAAGCATCTTTACAGTCATCAAAAAAAATTGAGTCAAAAAGATTAAAAATTGACAACTTAAAAAAATTTTACCCTTGTTTGCACGATAATATACAGGCTATTCCTCTTGGAAAGCAGTCAGGCTCACAATGAGATCCACAGTCTTTGTATTCTTCATTTTTTGGACACTCATTGCACTGGAACTCACAGTTTCCAGTTTCGGGATTTCTTTTGTAGCCCTTTGGACATCCTAAAGTCGTTTCAACTTAAATAAAAATTCCAGTGATCTACAAAATCTTATTGGATCTACCTTTACAAGACTTAATCGGAACACATTGATTAGTTATCTGACTCCTAACATATCCATCCCTACAAATACATCCGGGTATACAACGGCATTTAAAAACAGCATTCAATGTGTCGCAAGTTCGTTGACATCCAGCTGAACAGTCTGAATAAACTTCATTTGATGGACACCATTTTGGATTATTAACAGGATTTGGACATTTATGCTCGGAAATGCATTTAAATGTGTTTGGATCTCTGATCATTCCTCTTGTACAGACACATCCAGGAATGCATTGTGACTCATCAGTCGATGCATGACGGTGGAAGCAATTTGGCTGGTTTGGTCCGGCACATCTCGAATAAACTTCCCATTTTGGACAACTTTTATCGCATGAAACATCTCCTGACGATGACGGAACAGGAAATATCAGTGCAAGTGTCGAGAGAATCGTGAGACATAAAAAGTTCATGACTTGAAGCTTTCTAGAAAATATAGAAATTTTAAATATGTCGTAAAATGAACTTAACGTGTGAAAACAAACTTGAAAATGCACTGAAGAGTTCCAAAATTTGTTCATTTTAAAGCAAAATGTTTATCAAATTTATGGAAAATTAATTGAGAATGTCATATAACAGTCATGAGTAATGCAAAAATATGCACAAAATATTTAAATTAATTTGACGAAATGATTAATTTGAGTATTTGGTAACACTTGAACATTATGCAGTTTGATAAGGGATTGTGAAAAATTCAAACTTTTTGTATTAAATTAAATCAATTAATTTCAAGTCAAGTGGATTCAAATCAAGGAGGGTCTTGTCAAGTAGCTTAATATCAAGTAAATTTATTTCATGGAGGGTCAAGCAAATTTGTTTTCTAGTCAAGTAGTGTCAAGTCAAGTAGTGTCAAGTCAAGTAGTGTCAAGTCAAGTAGTATCAAGTCAAGTAGCGTTGATTCAAGTAGTTTCGAATCGAGTAGGGTCGAGTCAAATAGCTTAATATCAAGTAAAATTCATGTAGAGTCATGCTAATTGGTATCTAGACAAGTAGTGTCGAGTCGAGTAGGGTCTAGTCAAGTAGCGTTGATACAAGCAGTGTTGAGTCAAGCAGTTTCGAGTCGAGTAGGGTCGAGTCAAAAAGCGTTGAGTCAAGTAGTCTCGAGTCTAGTAATGTCGAATTAAGTAGTGTAAAGTAAAGTGATGTCAAGTCAAGTAGTGTCAAGTCAAGTAGTGTAAAGTAAAGTAATGTCAAGTCAAGTAGTGTCAAGTCAAGTAGTGTCATGTCAAGTAGTGTCAAGTCAAGTAGTGTCAATTCAAGTAGTGTCAAGTCAAGTAGTATCAAGTCAAGTAGTGTCAAGTCAAGTAGTGTCAAGTCAAGTAGTGTCAAGTCAAGTAGTGTCAAGTCAAGTAGTGTCAAGTCAAGTAGTGTCAAGTCAACTAGTGTCGAATCAAGTTGTATCAAACCAAACTTCTGTACTACAAGTGTAAGTATGAGGTCTATGATTTTGAGAATTTATTGCAATGCCAACCATAAATCCTCCACGAAATTGATATAAAATAATTTTTGATTCACAATTTCATAAACCTTATTGATTCTCCACGATAGCAATGACTCACGACTATTTTATCAAGTTCACAAGAAGTTCCACAGTATTTATTATCATTTAAAAATTCAATTTTTTCCTTCTTGAATCAACTGTCACGATTCCACGACTCAGTTAGTAATAAAAACATATTAAAATGATATTTCACGGCATCGACCTAGCTTCCCTGTTGTCCACTGTGTTAGGAAAAATTTTCATATAAAATGTTGGACTTTCTGAACAATCGACACATTCAGACTTCATTCGTTTTGTGATTTGAGACGATTTGTTAGCCTGGTTGGAACTAGAAAATAGTAGTTTCTTTAGTTTTTCGGTGTTTAAATAGAAAAAATTTTCACGATGAAAATCAGTTCAATTTTCTTGATCTTTGCGATAATTCTTGGTGTTGTAGTTGCAATGCCTAGTAGGGATGGAAGCCGCGGTAGCCATGAACATGGTAGCCATCGTCCATCAGCTGAATCTGAAGGATCAATGCATGATTACTACGAATACAACTACGAGTGCGAATACTACGAATACGAAGATGGATCATCAGGTTCTTCAGTCTATCCATCAAAATCAATGGCTTAAATTCAAATTTAACCATTTCGGACAAAAAAATACTAAAATCAGCAGAACTGTTGCTAAAAAATGTTGTGGAACTCACAAAACAGCCAGCTAGTCAATCAATAATAGATAACTTAAGTCTAAGTCAGCCACGTCTTGCCAGAAAATGGAGCTTAATTCTGGAAAAAAAATCTACTTTAGACCTTACTTTTATTGTTATTATTCGTTTTTTCGAAATATGTTTTTGTTGTAAATTTGTAATTATCTGTGACAACTTGTAAATAAATAAATAAAATGTCACAAAAATCATCAGTGGGACGACAAAGCCGCAAACTTGATATTTTTCCCACTGATGATTTTTGAATTTAATTTAGTTAATTAATCAGAATGAAAATTTTGAAGTGTGTTTTTATTTTTTGGTGGGATTTAAGATGGTTTTGAGGTGTAAAACTTTGAAAATCTTAAAATTTATATTTCAGAGGGTGTGAAACTACGAAAATTTATTATTAAAGGGGATGAAACTACGGAAAATTATTTCAAAGGGTGTGAAACTATCAAAATTGTGAAAATATAATGTTAAAAGGGTGTAAAACTATGAAAAGCTATAAAAATGAATGTTAAAGGGGTCTGAAACTATGAAAAACTAAAATTAAAGGGGTGTGAAACTATGAAAAACTAAGATTAAAGGGGTTTGAAACTACGCATTATGTGTGTTTGAAATTTTTGGTCTGTCTTAACGTTTTGTTAAGTGAACAGCAATCATCTTGTAAGCCTCGAAACTTCTTGAAACCTTCAAGAAGCATTTTACAAAATGTGCAGCATTTGTTTTTTTAAAACAATAAGTTTTTCAATTCTTTTGTTTTTACTTAATGAATAAGTCGTGAGTCGGTCAGTTGTAATTAAATTAAGTCGTGATATATTCAATGAAATGGGTCTTTGGAACCTTCTTTCAGTGCATTTTTTGTTTATATTGTCCCCTTGATTTTTTGAACTCTAAAAATTGCAGCAAAATCACCAAACTCACCTCTTTATTTGGTCAGTCTATTATTGTAAGTGAGAAAATTTTCAAAAATCCCAATTAATTGAGAACAAATTCTGTTAACATCATGTAAAACATTCCAAAACAAGCCTTCCCTCCCCCAGTGCTTTTAACCTCCATCCGGTCTCTTCACAATTTTCTTCAATTCAACTCCACTCGTTTAATCAGTCAATCATCAAAATTCAACAAAATTCCATTCACGAATTTTTTATTTGAGCCAAAAAAATGAAAACAAAAATTTTAATAATTTTTTTAATGTCACAACTGATAGGAAATGTAATAAATTTAGAGATGACTCAACAGTCGAGTGACGAACCTGATTATGAAAATGAGACGGCAATGAAAATTGACGAAACAATGGTTAAATTGAGGCAATCAACAATTGAGCCAGATGCGGAGTTGATAATGATTAGTAGCAAGAGTGATGATGATGTAAAGAGGAGGAGTAAGTCAAGAAGGAAGGGGAGAGAATGTGAATTTTAAAAAAATTAGAATCGACTTGACTGTTTAACTTGATTTGTCAATTTGACTGTTCGATTGATCAATTTGATTGTTTTATTAAACTGCAAGACTTCATGACTGATTAAAATTACTGCTTTCCTGATCAACTTGACTCGTTTGACGATTCTTTTGACTGAATTTCTGATTAACTTGATTGACTTTATGATCAATTGGCTATTTTCCTGATCAACTTTATTCATTTTTTGATCAACTTGATTGACTTTATGATCAACTTGACTATTTTTCTGATCAACTTGATTCATTTTCGGACCACCTTGATTGACTTTATGATCAACTTGATTGACTTTATGATCAACTTGATTGACTTTATGATCAACTTGACTATTTTTTGATCAACTTGATTCATTTTCTGATCAACTTGATTGACTTTATGATCAACTTGACTATTTTTCTGATCAACTTGATTCATTTTCGGACCATTTTGATTGACTTTATGATCAACTTGATTGACTTTACGATCAACTTGACTATTTTTCTGATCAACTTGATTCATTTTCTGATCAAGTTGACTACTTAACTGATCAAGTTTGTTTCTTTACACATAAACTTGACTTTCTTGCTGATCAATTTGAATTACTTGCTGATCAATTTGACTTTCTTGCTGATCAATTTGACATTCTTGCTGATCAACTAAACTTTCTTGTTGATCAACTTGACTTAATTAAAATTTTTCGATGTCTTTAGTTGAATTACATAATTAATCAATTTTTTATCCATTTTAGAACGTCAAGTTGAAGAAATCCCGCCAAATGAGGTTCCTGAAGACAATCCAAATGAAATGGAACCAACAAACAGTGAATCTTTTACCCCAGCAATAGATGAGCAAACAGATGAGGAACCGTCAGTAAACCTTGAAGTTGAAACATCAATAACAAAAAGTCCAACAACAACATTCATTGGTGGAATTCCACTTAGTGTTATTACAAGGCAGCCCAACATGACAGCAACAACAACAACAACAGCAACTCAATCGTCTTCAACAACAACGAGAACAACTGTCAAGGGAAAAGTCACATATTACACAAAAAAGCCTTTAATTTTTCGATCGGAAACCACAACATCGTTTACTGTTGGACCACTGGTAAGACAACAAGCAACAGGTCTTACATTCGCCAGTCAAAAAGCTAAAATGGCAGCACCGACGACAAGAAATATGAAACTTGTTAGCACAACCAGGAAAGTAAATGCCAAAAAGGTTCAGAAGAAGGTTGAAAGTACGAAAAAAGTGACGAAATTGACGAAAAAAACAACAATGAAAGCAAAGACGGTGACAAAGACGACGATTAAGGCTGCAACTACAAGAAAATTTTGATAAAATGAAGGATGCATTTGGAAAATATTTAAATAAATCAAGTTTTTCTCAAATTTTCCGAAATTTTCATTCAAGTTTAGTCTTTGTTAAGGATCTGAAGCCACATTAGCGTCAAAACCTTCCTCAATTTGCATCCAAACAGCTTCAAATGATCATAAATCACCCACCAGAACCCAAACGCTTTCCAAAAACCCATTAAAAAATTCTAAAAACTCGTGTCTGGGATCATAAACAGCACACCGAATCTATATGACATTACGATAGGTCAGTAAAGTCAGTCGGAGAGTGAATTTTTGTAGACTTTTCCATTTGAGACTGAAAATTTCCCATTTTCCAGTGGCTCTGAGTGGAAGCAAATGAGATTTTTACAAATTGGGAGCTTAAAAAATTCTCAAACTCCCACAAAAATTTATTTACGGCCTTCTTTTATCCATCGTAAATAGAGCACAGACTACAGATTAATTAAATATTCCATTAGAGAATATTTTTTGAGGTTTCAATTAAGTTTGAAGAATAATATTAAAAGTAATTAAGTCATTCTGTCTATAATCATTGGATAATAGCTCCTCATTCCACCGTCAATTTTATTGTTTCCATAGCCACATTTTGTGTATTATATTGACTTTTGAGTAATTCATGATGTGACTGACGTAAATGGGAACTTTAAAATTCTTTAGACTGGTTAGACATTAATACCGTTAAAATTTGCAAAAGTAAAGGCACCTGAATCACAAAACTAAGTGGGAATGCATCTGAACCTCAAGACTCTATCGGAAATGCACCTGAACCACAAAACTCTAATATGAAGACACCTACAACTCAAGTCTTCAATGTTAAGGCACCTGAACCTCAAAACTTTGGTGTGAAGGCACCTGAAACACAAGTCTTTAATGTGAAGGCACCTAAATTAAAAGGCTCTAGTGTGAAGGCACCTGCAACTCGAACTTTCACTGTGAAAACACCTGAACCACAAAACTTAAGTGTGAAGGCACCTGAATCATAAGACTCTAGTGTGAAGGCACCTAAAAATCAGGTCTTTAATGTGAAGGCACCTGAATTAAAAGGCTCTAGTGTGAAGGCACCTGCAACTCGAGCTTTCACTGTGAAAACACATGAACCACAAAACTCTAGTGTGAAGGCACCTGAAACACAATTCTTTATTGTGAAGGCACCTAAACCACAATACTCTAGTGTGAAGGCACCTGAACCATAAGACTCTAGTATGAAGGCTAGACATTATTTTTATTATTATTATTTTATTATTATCTTTCTTTCTTTTTTTAGGTCTTTAATGTGAAGGCACCTGAACCATAAGACTCTAATGTGAAGGCACCTAGAAATCAGGTCTTTAATGTGATGGCACCTGAATTAAAAGACTCAAGTGTGAAGGCACCAGCAACTCAAGTCTTTAATGTGACTGAACCACAAGACTCGAATATGAAGACACCCGCTACACAAGTCTTCAATGTGAAGGCAGCTGAATCACAAGACTTCAGTGTGAAGGCACCTACAAATCAGGTCTTTTATGTGAAGGCACCCGAATAAAAAAACCCTAGTGTGAAGGCACCTGCAACTCGAGCTTTTACTGTGAAGGCACCTGAAACTAGAGCTTTTACTGTGAAGGCATCTGAAGGAAATTCTTGTAATCATCTTGAAATTCAATACTCTAACGTAAATGCATCCTAACATAAAAATCACTTACACCTCAATTAAAACAGATCATTTTACTTTAATCAAAACTTATTTTGGGAATAGGTAAACACGATAATGTCGTGCGTCGACAAACATTTAAAATTTATTTTTTATTTACTATTAATTGTTAGATTCCCTTTCAGTTCGATCTCGTTGCTCATTGGAAATAGATTGAAGTTTCAAATATGAATCACGAGTTCAAGATTTTATTGATTTTAGCTCTATTAGCTGATTTTAAAGTTTCAAAGTGTACAGCAGGATTAAGTCCATATAAAGTCAATCCAAATGTAACAGCAGTTGCACAAGTTCTTCATGACATTGCCATTGAATTTCTAGTAAAACATAAAGTTCGATTTAATATTTTCTATTTGAAAAAAGTATCGCCATTTATTTTGGATATAAGTGACAAATTCATTGCCTAGTTGGAAGCAAAGACTCACTATCGTCTCACAAATTTTAATAAATTCAATAAATTCTACAATAATAAACTGTATTTTTCTCAATTCATCTTCTTAAACTCATTAATTGACTTTGGAGAGACTGAAAGGCGTTTTCTAGGTTTAAGATTCATGGGTCAGTCAATCAAATATTTTATTTTTATTCCTGATTTAAGTTTTGAAGAGTTGAAGACGTCCTGGATTTTTGGAAAGTATCAACAAATTTCATTTACTTCTGAAGGAATTTTTCATAGTTCCTACTTTGTAACAACTGAAATGGACACTGTGACTTTATCATCAATTGAATCATTTGAACCTGCTACTTGTGGCTATCCTAACCTCAAAATACTCAACACATTTAACAAAAGAACTTCAAAATGGACCTCAAAGTTGGAAAATCATGAGAAATTCCTTCAATACAATGGATGCGAGCTAGTCTTTGCCTTACCAACATTCATGCCAGACGGCACCTTGTATCATGTTTATGGATATTCAGTAATTAACAAAAATAATACAAATTTTAGTGTTCATGGAATTACACCGAAAATTTTCGAAATAGCGTCTATGGCTTATAATTTTACAGTAATGTATCAGCCTGTCTTTATGGATCCTTTATGGATATTTCCAGAAACAAGGAAGCAACTCTTCATTTATAAATTTAATCAATCGTTTAAATTTCCTTCAGTTTATTTTGAGATTCAAGACATTCAAATGATAAGCTTTACTATGGCAATATCTAATGCAGTTGTAAATACAAAGACATTCATGTTTGTGACACCAGCTGATAAGTATACAGCATATGAGAAATTTGTCCTTCCGTTTGATTCTTTGACTTGGATTTTACTTGGAACGACCTTCATGCTAACATTTATGTCAATAATGATGATTAATTTGACATCGAAAGCAACAAGAAACCTCGTTTATGGACATAAAGTCACCAATCCAATCTGGAATGTCATTAGCATCTTCTTTGGAATTTCTCAGACTAAGTTGCCGACCAAGAACTTCTCGAGATTCATTCTCGTTCTGTTCATTTTCTTCTGTTTGATCTTTCGAACTTGTTTTCAAAGTAAATTCTTTGAATTCATGACAAGTGAGCCGAGATTGTCACCACCAAGGACTATTAGTGATCTGATTGACAGGAACTACAGTGTTTATCAATCATTTCATCAGCCTGAAATTTGTAGCAATGAAGGTAGACTAGAACCATGGTGAGCTCATTTTAGAATTTGTCTAAGCTTCTTCTTACTTTAAGCTATAAATGTCTTTTACAGGCCTAACGTAACTAACATGTATATCCAAACATTAGCTGATGCCATTCAATCACAATCTCAAAACTCGACAGCTAAGATGGCTTTATGTGTCGATGAATTTTTACTGAATCATTTGGAACGTCATAATCAAAAGAATTACGATTGGAACAAGTTAGATTCCGCTATTTATTTAAAGACGGAAGCTTTTATGTTTCGGAACTATTCATTTTACTACAAGATGTTCATAAAAGTCATCAATGATTTAATCTCGACTGGAATAATGGAATATTTGGTTACAAAGTTTTACACTAAAAAGTTAACATTTAAGACAATCGATGATACACGGAAAGTTCTGGGCGTCAATGACCTTCTTTTTGGCTTCAAAATTTGGCTTGTTTTTTGTATAGTTTCTGGATGTGCTTTTGGAGTTGAACAAGTGACAAGATTTAGGAAAATACCACAAAAAATTAAATTTGCTAAAATTAATGTGATGGAAAATTGTGAAGAACCAGGATTAGATGGATGTTGTGAACTTAGTTTGGCTCTTTTGTCACAATTTCGAGTCCAAACTAGAGAAAGTCTTGCAGAAGTGATTTCAGATCCAAGTGGGACAAAAGATGACGAAATTAAAGTTAAAATTTGAATGAAAAACTAGTGTGAAGACACCAGAATCTCAGAAACCGAGTGTGAAAGCAACAGAACTTAAAAATCTAATGCTAGGACATCTAAAACTTAAAAATCAGTTCAAATTTTAGTTTTAAGGCACCTGTATCTCAAAAATCTTGTGTGAAGGCACCTGAACAAGTAACCTAGACCTTAGAAAGCTAGTGTGAATAGAGATGAACCCCAATATTGTAATGTGAAGGCAGCTGAACCCAAAAATTCTACTGTGAAAGCAGCTGAATCCAAAAATTCTTGTGTGAAGGCACCTGAACCCAAAAACTCTAGTATGAAGGCACCTGAACCGTAAAACTCTACTTTTAGGGCTCCTGAATTATAAAACTCAACTGCAGAGACAACTGAATCTCAAAAATCCAATGTGAAGACACCTGAACCTAAAAACCCTAGTGTGAAGGTACCTTAACTCAAAAACTCTAGTGTGAAGGCAGCTGAACCCAAAAACTCTAGTGTGAAGGCACCTGAACCGTAAAATTCTACTGTTAGGGCTCCTGAATTATAAAACTCAATTGCAGAGACAACTGAATCTTAATAATCCAGTGTGAGGACACCTGAACCTTAGAACCCTAGTGTGAAGGCACCTTAACCCAAAAACTCTAGTGTGAAGGCACCGAAACAAATAATTCTTAAACATGAACGGCTGAATAGTTGACCGACAACTGCAAATAGCGGAATGCATTGCATGTTTATTGTTTGTTTCTGAAATTAAGCATTATTCGATTTTGTCGATTCCACTTCGTTTTTTTGTGCTGCTGAAAATTAAACAAAAAAAAACGTGGTTAAAAAAGAAGTGGAAATGAAAATTTTTATTCGAATTTCTATTTCGACGATAATTGGATGTGAAAGCTTTTGTTTGGCGATGCAATGAACATTTTCCAGTTGTCGATTTTATTTTCAGTTCTGTTTGTGCAAATATGCTGTTTTGCAGGAACTCAAATGAAACTTTTTCGATGAACATTTGATGAAAGCTGAAGCTGAAATAATTAACAAGCGGATTGACGTGAATAAATTTGAATAAAATTAAGTTTGATTTGGATTTATTTATTTTTTTTGATATTGAGAATTGATTTTAATTGGATGTTTACAGTTGGATTAAGCAACAGATTAGTGTCATTAGTCGCACGCTGCACACCACTTTTGCAATGCATTAACTAGTTTCCTTTAGTTTTGACTCGAAACTTCATAATCAGCTCTGAACTTAACACTTTCTGTCCAAACTCATAGTTTTGAGTCACATAAACTTTTGCAAATTTAATTTTTTTACATCTTACAGCACGTGTTGTCAACATTTCAAACCAAAATGCAAATCCAGCGCTTAAACAACATCCAAACCAAATTTTGAATCCAAAAAGTAGGTCATTGACACTCAAAACTTTCCGTTCGTCTTCAATTTTTACAAATTTCCTCTTTTTCGTATAAAACTCTGTGACTAGATGCTCAATCATTCCAGTTGGAATCAAATTGTTGATGACTTTTTTAAACATTCGGTAAAAGAATGAAAAGCTTCGAAACATGAATGCTTCCGATGTTGTATGAAAGACAGTTTCAAGCTTATTCCATTTGAAATTTTTCTGAGTGTGAAATTCAAGTAGATTCAATAAAAATTCGTCAACACACAATGCAATCTTAGCTGATGAGTTCTGTGACTGTGTTAAGATTGCATCTGAGATCTCCTTGACTGACATATTTGTGATTTTTGGCCTGTTTTAAGAAAACGAAAATTAATTATTAAAAAAATTTATTTTAGGTTACTTTTATTCTGATTTTGACTATCATCAGTTATCTTCGACTTTCGTCGTGCATCTTCGTGTGTTTTCATGTGTCTTCGTGCACTTTCGTGCATCTTCGTGTGTCTTCGTGCAATTTCGTGTGTCTTCGTCTTTTCTCGTATGTCTTCGGTAGTCTTCGTGTATCTTCGTGCATCTTCGTGCATCTTCGTTTGTCTTCGTCTGTCTTCGTGTGTCTTCGGTAGTTTTTGTGTATCTTCGTGCATCTTCGTGTATCTTCGTGCATCTTCGTGTTTCTTCGTGCATCTTCGTGTGTCTTCGTGCATCTTCATGCATCTTTGTGTGTCTTCTGATTTTCTTTCTCTACCTTCGGCTATTTTCGTGCCTCTTTGTGAATAATTAAAACTTACCAAGGTTCTAATCGAGAACAGACGTCCTTTTGATGCATTGACCGACAAACACTGTAGTTCCTGTAAATCAGATCACTAATAGTCCTTGGTGGTGACAATCTCGGCTCACTTGTCATGAATTCAAAGAATTTACTTTGAAAACAAGTTCGAAAGATCAAACAGAAGAAAATGAACAGAACGAGAATGAATCTCGAGAAGTTCTTGGTCGGCAATTTAGTCTGAGAAATTCCAAAGAAGATGCTGATGACATTCCAGATTGGATTGGTGACTTTATATCCGTAAACGAGGTTTCTTGTTGCTCTTGACGTCAAATTGATCATCATTATTGACATAAATGTTAGCATGAAGGTCGTTCCAAGTAAAATCCAAGTCAAAGAATCAAACGGAAGGACAAATTTCTCATAAACTGTATACTTATCAGCTGGTGTCACAAACATTATTGTCTTCATATTAACAATAACATTAGACACGTCCATGATGACATTCTTTTTTTTAATGTCGTGTATCTCGAAATACACAGAAGGAATCTTGTAAGTATTGTTAATTAACACAAAATTCATTTGTTTATTTTTTTCTGGAAATATCCATAAAGGATGAATATCGACAGGCTGATATTGTTCCGTAAAATTGTGAACTTTTGAAGCAATCTCGAAAATTTTCGGTGTAATTCCATGAACACTAAAATTTGTATTATTTTTATTAATTACTGAATATCCATAAACATGATTCAAGGTGCCGTCTGGCATAAATGTTGGTAAGTGTTAATATACGATATTAACATATTTATTTATCTATGATATACTTTTATACTTTCTATAAATTTCACTAGATGTCACTTTAGTATATCCAAATTATGCTTTAGATTTGAATTATTTCATGTCGTTAATGAATTTGATAATCATTATGTATTTTATAATTTATTGTAATGTATAACTTTATAATGACGTTATGCTAAAGTTGAATATACTTTCATTCAAGGGCATAATAATTGCAGTGCCGTGTGCAATTTGGTGTGCACATTCCTTTGTAAGGCCTTGAAGCAATTAGTATAAAAGAAGATAGCATAGCATGAATAAAGGAGTCTATTTTTTATTATCAATAGATCCAGACCTTCTTGTTTTGAATATTTATCAACTTCACCATTTGCAGTTGTGCAACATTGGTCCTTCGGTTCGTTGAAACATTGATAGAGAGTGTTGTTAAGAATCGGAAATAATTTGTAAGTCTTTGAAAAAACTTTGAAAAAATTGAGTTTTTAATAAGCACTTAGAAATATTTTGCGGTCACACAGATAGTGTTGTGATGAGAAAAAGTGTATTCGGTGAATAAATCTTGAGCAAGTTTGTAAACCATTAAAGTCGTTTCTGGCCAGAACGCATCAGGTGAGTGAAGTGAATTTTTCAAAAGGATTAATTCATTTATTGTACTATAATTAATTCTAACAAGTGTGTGGTTAAATTAATATTATAGTTTTTGAGATCTTGTTGAGATTTGGTGAGAGAAATTTGTGGATTTTTTTCTTGTTTTGTGACATTAATTTAAAAATAATTAATTGTTCGGCATTAAGTGCATTTGCAAATTTAATTTTAATACAAAAGGTATAAAGGAAATTAGAATTTCGCAATATTACAAGTTTCTATCGGTAATTGGGAAATTGTATGGAATAAAATTAATTATTTTATTCTTGGTTCTATCAAGGGTACAAAAGTTACCAAGGATTAGAACATTTTTTTAAAATAAATCTTGTACAAGTTGAAAATCACATATTTGTGTGTCTAATTTTGAGGGTACCTAAGTTGCGAGCAAAATTAGTGAGCAAGGTCAATTAAAGCATTGTCTTTCTCTGGGCTTTACATATTAGTGTAGGTGACACATAATTGTAGAGACGTTTTTTTTATTGTATTTTCTTTTCTCTATACATTTGGGAAAGAGAAAAAAAAAAAAATTGCTTTTGTTCTCTCCGTGTGAGAGTTTTTTTTGTGTGCATAAGGTGCATTAGAATTATTTCATTTACCCAGTAAGAAATTTTTTTTTAAAAATTCCGGTCTCAACAAGAGGTTCGAGCGGGATGGGTGACAAAAATGAAGATAATAAGATTGACGAAGAAACGTACAAAAAGTATGGAGAATTGCGTGATAAACAGCAAGGTTTTCAATTACTGGTTTCGGGTTTGTTTACAAGAGTTCAAAGTTTTTCTAAAAATACTCGTACTGAAGCAGAGGAAGTTTTAGGAAAACTTGTGACTGCTTGGCCAGAAGTCAAATCTTTACATGCTCAACTAAAAGAATTAAATAAAGAGGGTGTTCTTAATAATTTGAGTTATTTTAAAGAAAGTCGTTTTGACATAGTGAAGTCAATGGTTGATGTTTCAAAAAAGCGCATTTTTAAGTTGTTTCCTGATGAGCAGGATTTTCTTAATTTGTCTTCTTCATCTCAAGACTTTGAAGATGATTTTGAAGCGGGATCTGATATAGATGATTCAGCTGATAGTGAGCGCATGCAATCCATGCAAAAAGAGCTTAGTGAGCTTAAGAAAGTTGTCACTAGGGGAAGCTCTAGCAATAATCGAGAGGAACTATTGCTCCGTTATTTGCAGCATGTTGATGCTGACAATAATTTTCCTGAATTTCCAGCACTTGAGTCAGAGTATCGAGTCTGGCGTAAAAAAGTTAGGACTTGGGAGGCTAGGTCTCCAAATATTCCTTCAGAAATCAAGATTGATTTTCTGTTGAAAGCAATTAATAAGAATTCAAACGCTCGTTCTATCGTGAAATGTTTTGATAGTAGTGTAGGTTCGAATTATGATCAAATGCTTAAAGCTTTGGATGAGCAATTTTTTACAGCTCGTCAAACGGTTTATAATCATTTTATGGGACTTGTTAATCCAAATATTAAGGCTACCAAGGGTAGTGAATACCTTCAAGAGGTTTTTAATAAGTTTTCCTTTGAATGGAAAAATTTTGAGTCATTTACATCTGAGCTGATGAGCGAAGATCAACATGACAATGAGCTTGAAAAGCTAAAGTTTCAAATTAATGTTATTAAGAATGCATTGTTGTTTAATTTGTTGGATGAAGGCACTAAAAATAAAGTTGTGCTTCATTTAAAAATTACTCCTGATAAAATTCCAGATTTTGAAGATGTTTTGGAATATGTCAAGATTATGTTTCTCAATGTGCGTGGCACTAGGGAGCTTATATTACCTGCGGGAAGTAAGGTTAGGGAACCTACAAAAGCTTCAAATTGCAAGAAGATTGATATTCGCAATAAAAAAGCAATTTCCTGTACAATATGTCCAGAGGGGCATAAGACAGTTAAGTGTCCAAAATTTTTGGCAATGACGCCTCAACAGCGTCAAAATGCAATCAAGAAAAAAGGTCAGTGCTTTGTTTGCCTGTATAGAAAGTATAGGGATTGTAATTGTGCGACAAAGGATGATTGTAGAAAATGTAAAGAATGTGGATCTAAGCACCATATTTTATTGCATATGATAAATGAAAACTCAGAAACATCCTCGAATAAGAAAGTTCAGGTTGAGCAAAAGGGAGTTTATTTTAACCCAGAAACATTTGACTGGGCTGAAGAAGCAATTAATGCTCCAGAGTTTAGTGTAGGAACTAAAAAGTTGGATGCATCTCATGCGGTTGCTGTTTTGCCAACTGCTGTAGTAAAATGTACTTCAGAAGATGGGATGAAATCAGTTGAAGCTAGGGTTCTTTTTGATACGGGAGCGGATCAACCGTTGATTACTTATGAGTTTGCAAAGCGTTTGGGACTTAAGTTGAAGCCAACGTTTATTAAAACATATGATTATCAGGGAAAAGAAACAATGCCAGTTCGTCATGAAACTAATGTTACAATGAATTCACTGCATGAGAAATATTCTCTTAATATAACTGCTTATTTGAGAAAATCTTTGGGAGGTGTAAAGCCAATTCCAGAAAAGCTTAGGCAAATAGTTAAAGCTCCTCTAGCTGATACCTCAAACAAGTTGACAGGAGGGAGAATTGACATTATCATGCCAGTTAAATATGTGGCTAAAATCAGAAAAAATGGTATGATTCGCATATCTGAAGATTTAATTTTGGAAAATACTAGATTTGGATATATGGCTTTAGGTTGTCTAGAAAATTCAGTAAATGTTCGTAGTTTGCATACTAGGATGGTTTCTGTGGGAGATCCAGAATTTAGAGCTATAGGAAGATTTTTCGATCAAGATACTTCTGAGCCTTGCGGTGATGAAGAGCTCGCGGAGCAAATGTTTATGAAATACTTTTCTCGGCTCAGAAATGGAAAAATGGTAGTAGGGATGCCATTATTAGAAGATCAGGGTTTAGGAGAAAGTAAAAGAGTGTGTATTTTTAGAACACACAGAGTAATGAATCAATTATCTCCAGAAATGAGAGTTGAGTACATAAGGCAATTTGAGGATCTTATGGTCAAAAGTTATATCAGACCAGCTGATACATCGGTACCAGGAAAATATTATGTGTCTCATTTACCAGTTATTAATAAAGATTCTCTTACACATCCTTTGAGAATAGTTTTTGACTCCTCACAGAAGACGAGTAATGGAAGAAGCTTAAATGACATACAGCTTAAAGGAAAGAAGTTGCAGAATTCATTACAACTGGTGCTGATCGGCAGTAGAATTTTCGAGGGCATGAATTCAACGGATTTGTCAAAGATGTATTTGTCTATGGATATGATTGATAAGCATATTCCATATCAAAGAACATTTATGCCAACCAAGGATGGGAAGTTAATGGAGGTAGAGATGCCAACAATAATTTTTGGGAATACGTCTAGTCCATTTTTAGCAATTCGAGCAATGCAGGAATTAGCTAGTCTTGAAAATAGAAGATTTCCATTAGCGGCAGACATCATTCGAGATGCTATGTACGTAGATGATGTCTTGTATAGTTTACCAGTGGGTGAACTTATGAAAGAAGCTTCGAGACAGCTGCAAGGAATTGCTGAGAGCGCTCAGTTGAAATTCAGAAAATGGGCGTCAAATGTTCCAGAAGCTATCGAGATGATTCCTGAAGAGGACAAATTGATAGCGATTGAGAAGGAAATTCGTGATGATGAAGTGTCAGGAAAGGCAGGAATTTTAGGACTTTCTTGGTTGATAGATTCGGATGAGTTATCTATTAAAATGAATAAATTTCGACAGCTTAAAGAGGGAGAACCATTGACATTGAGGTTTGCACTGTCCCAAATTGCAACTGTTTATGATGCAATTGGGTTGTTGAGTCCATTATTTTTGACTGGAAGATTAATAATCAAAGAGATTTACAAAGAATTGCTCAACAACAAGCCGTTGAAAAAAAGAGACAAAAGATTAGACATTTCACTTTCAGAGGAATTGAGAAAGTTATGGTGTGTCTGGAGTGAAGATTTATGTGCCATCAATGATTTGAAAACTCCAAGATGGATTAGACATGTTCCAGGCAACAGACTGTCTATTATAGCTTTTGCTGATGCATCATTGGATGGTACGGGATCAACAATTTACTCTCACTCAGAAGGGGAGGGTGAAATACATGTCAATTTACTAATGGCTAAGTCCAATATAAAGCCAAGTGGGGGAAATTGGACAATTCCAAAATTGGAACTGAAAGCTATGGAGAAAACTGTTGAGTTAGCCATGGATGTAAAGAATGCAGTTCAAAAAACGCTCAAACGAGGTAATTGCGATCAAGAAGTTGAGGTTTATTTCTTTTCAGATTCGGAAATTACGCTTGCATGGTTGCAAGGTAATCCAAATGATAGAGCTACATTTGTGAGAAATCGACTCAACAACATTAAAAAAGTATGTTCAAAAGGAAATTACTACTACATCGATACAAAATTAAATCCAGCAGATTTGGCAAGTCGCAAATGCAAAGCGGGAGATTTAATTGATAATCCATTATGGTGGCATGGACCATCATTTTTGACTGAAAAGGGGGCATTAGGAAAGCTTGAAGAGCGCCTCTACGAGACCATTGTAGAAAATAGGTCAAAACCAAAAGAAACAGAGGTTCGAGTAGCTAAGGTCAGCCATGAGATATCTGTGGATGCCATCATTGAGATTGCTAACAAGATATCAGGTTGGGTTGGTACTTTAAAAAGGATTGGGTGGCTACGTAGAACCGTCGTATGCTTTAAAACTCCGGGGACTCGTCACAAAGATTTGTCTGGGATGGAGTTAGAGGAAGCTAAGTGGGCCATCATCAGAGCTTATCAACGTCAGGCATATAACACAGAGCTTGATACGCTGTCAAACGGAAAATACATCAAGACAGGACTATTGGTGGGTAAGTGCGCATTTATTGATGATAATGGTGTGCTTCGAATTCGTTCTAGGTTACAAAACGTAAAACCCTTGGAATGGTCGCAAGTTTGTCCAATCGTATTGCCAAAACTCAACATTGATCCAAAAACAAGCGATGAAGACTTTAATAAAGTATGTCCTTTAACAATGAAGCTGATTCTGTATTTTCATTTGGAAGTAATGCATGGAGGAGTCGACAAAGTTCTGGCTGCTTTAAATCAAGAATTTTACTTGCCAAATGGAACGAGAACGGTCAAGAGTATGATTTACAGATGTGTAAAATGTAGAATGCACAAGAAGCAGGTTCAACATCAACTCATGGGGAGCATACCAATGGAGAATGTTACACCATCACCACCATTCTATCATGTGTCGTGTGATGCTTTCGGACCACTCCAGATCAAGCACCAACCTGGAAAACGCACGCGTCTAAATGCTGATGGTGAGGAAAGACCAGGGGGCAAGGCATGGGGTATCATATTTGTGTGCAGAGCTACCCGTGGAGTTCACATTGAGGTTGCATCAAGCTTGTCTGCTGAGGAATTTCTAATGTGTTTTAGAAATTTTGTAGCGACACGTGGTTTACCTAGGTCTGTATTGACAGATAATGGTACGAATTTCAAAAAAGGCGGCGATATGTGTGTAAGTTTGACATCAGCAGAGCTCACAAAGCAACTTAGAGCAGCATGTAAGTCAAAAAAGGCTAATGCTAATGCAGCAAAGGTAATAAATAAGTATCTCAGACGTGATTCTGAGATGGAGTCAATGCAAGAGGCTATTGACTATGTAGAGAGTAAGTACAAGGGGCAACAGGTAATTTTCTTAAAAGGAAAAGGTGATTTGTTAAAATTTAGTTTGTCACCATGTTACAGTCCTTGGTTCAATGGTTTAGCAGAATCGGAAGTAAAAGTTGTGAAATCACATTTAGTTAAAATCATTAGAACAGTTTTGCTTAATGCAGCTGGGCTTCATTCAGTTTTGAAGAGAATTGAAGCTGTGATTAACAGCAAACCGATAGCTGTCACGAAATCTGATGACAATTCACGTCCGTTGGTCATTACTCCAGCCCATTTTTGGGCTTCGCGTCCTTTAGTGGCATTGCCATCAGGACCTATTCCAAAAACAAATGGTCAGGCTGTGGAACTGACCAAACGAGCCATTATGATGGATCAACTTGTTGAAAAGTGTTGGGAAGTTGTCCAGAATAAGCATTTCAATGAGTTGAAGTCCAGGCATAAATGGTTTAAGAGAGTTGAAAATCCTCAAGTAGGGGAAGTCGTGCTGTTAAAAGACAAAAACAGCAGCGTTAATTGTTGGCCTAAGGCAGTTATTACGAAGATACATCCTGGCAAGGATAAGATTGTTAGAGTAGTCACTGTAAAGAATTCATTAGGTCATACACATGAAAGAGCAATGACGGAAGTAGTCACTTTGCCTATCATTGCTAATATACAGTCCAACAAAAATAATGAGGCTACTGATAAAATTGATCAGAAGTTGATAAAAAAGCAAGAAAATAAAGTTGAACAGCCTAAAAGACAAAGTGCTAGATTAGCAGCTAGAAATTCTAGCAAAACGTTAACATTTAGTTTGTTAAAATTCATTGTATTAATTAGTTTCGTACCAATTGTTTTAGGCAGGGTGTTAATACCGCAAAAAGCGTTTGGTGGAGCTATGGTGTTCGATATTGCGACAACATGGAGGAAAGCAGGTGACATTAAGTGGGAAGTCAGCACTGGAATGTATCCACAACAAGATCACGAAACTATTAAACGAGCAATGAATAGTTATGAAGTCCAATGCAATCGTGCAAGCGGATTTTCAAAGTCTATATGTACAGCAAATCTTGATGTATTGAGAGCTTCATCTGATAATGTTAAACGACTCATTGGAGAATTTAAACAACCAGAAAAATCAGAAAGACGCAGTAGGTCTAAGAGAAGCACTGATAATGAGGGAATTGTTACACATCTATGGAGACTTTTGTTTGGTTATCATCAGAATAAGCCTAGTTATGAGGCAATTCAACATCTGTCAAAAGCACAAGAGTTAGCAAACAAACATCGAAAAAGCATTGAAGAGAAGGTAAACAGCCAACTGTTAATATTGACGGATGCAGTAAATGAGTACGAAGCGACGTGGGACAATAGAGATGCAGAATTGAAACAGGCTTTGCAGTTCCAACACGTTCATAGTCTCATCAATGAGCATTTTGAGTATATTTTTGAGAAGTATACTGAGGCAATAATCACAAACGAAGAAATTCAAACAATGATTGGAAAATTAAAAGCAGATCAGATCCATGTTCCAAACATAAGATTAGAACAGTGGAGAGAAATGTTTGACATAAAGATCGTCCTAAAGAACAGTCAAATAATTTACGAAGTAGTGTGGCCGATTCTACATGAAGAAACATTAAAAGTATTCAAAGTAATTCCAACGCCAACGGTTGATGGACAAATTTTAGATTTTGAACCACAAATCGTGATTATGAATCCCGTCACAAGTATGTACGTGAAGGAGTTTCGATTGATAAATCAGATTAACGTCACACATCAAGTGATTGAAGCTTCAAGATTAATGAAATTGTCTAAAAAGTCAGCGTGTCCAGTGGCAATTACAATGAATGAGATGTCAATATCATGCGTTTATAAAAAACTACCTGAAGAATATGATTATTGGGTTAAGGTTATTCCAAACGTCTATTGCTTCGCTAGTAATGTTCAAAAGGAGAAAATATGTCATCCAAATTCGAGAACAAAAATTGATGGAATTACTGGTACAGTGATTTTAGAACAGAAATGCTTCATATCCACAACCTTTAATCAGATTGATTATTTAGAAGATCATCAGGAATCTGGAAATGTTTCATCATTCCACATTCCAGAATTAAGTTGGAACGTATCAGAAAGTACAACTCCACACAAGACAATTCTAATTGACAGTTTAGTCAATCAAGATGCAAAGGAGATTCAAGAGGAAATCGATCTTGGAATAGAAGCAAATATCCCAGAACGAAAAGAAGATGATTTAACCACTTTGCTGTTTGCTGTGTTGGGAACCATCGTTGCGATCGTGCTAATCACGTTAATAGGAATCTGTTGTTGGAAGCGCAGGGAAGCGGTAACTGCAGTCAACATCAAGATGGAGCCCGTTGCACCGAATATGGATCATCCACCTATCAGAACACCAGAGCCATCACCTAAACGCAAATAATAGGGTTTATTAAATTCGTGAGGGGGGAGTAATGTTAATATACGATATTAACATATTTATTTATCTATGATATACTTTTATACTTTCTATAAATTTCACTAGATGTCACTTTAGTATATCCAAATTATGCTTTAGATTTGAATTATTTCATGTCGTTAATGAATTTGATAATCATTATGTATTTTATAATTTATTGTAATGTATAACTTTATAATGACGTTATGCTAAAGTTGAATATACTTTCATTCAAGGGCATAATAATTGCAGTGCCGTGTGCAATTTGGTGTGCACATTCCTTTGTAAGGCCTTGAAGCAATTAGTATAAAAGAAGATAGCATAGCATGAATAAAGGAGTCTATTTTTTATTATCAATAGATCCAGACCTTCTTGTTTTGAATATTTATCAACTTCACCATTTGCAGTTGTGCAACAGTAAGGCAAAGACTAGCTCGCATCCATTGTATTGAAGAAATTTCTCATGATTTTCCAACTTTGTAGTCCATTTTGATGTTGTTTTGTTGAATGTGTTGAGTATTTTGAGGTTAGGATAGCCACAAGCAGCAGGTTCAAATGATTCAATTGATGATAAAGTCACGGTGTCCATTTCAGTTGTTATAAAGTAGGAACTATGAAAAATTCCATCAGAGTCAGTTGAAATTTGCTGATACTTTCCAAAAATCCAGGACGACCTCAACATCTCAAAGGTCAAGTCAGGAACAATGATAAATACTTTTATTGGCTGACCAGCAAACCTCATAGCTAGAAAAAATCTCTCAATTTCTGCAAATTCATCTAATGAGCTCATAAAGATAATTTGAGCATAAACCAGCAGATTTTTGAATTTTTGATCATATTTTCCAAAAACTAGCAATCTGTAACTCGTTTTTTGCTTTAATAAGGCAACAAATCCATCAATTATGTCCAAAATAATTGGAACTTTCTTAAGAAATAAAACATTGAACCGCAGTTTTTCATTCACTAGAAATTCAATCGCAATATCGTGAAGAACTTGTACAACAGCAGTGACGTTAAGATTAGTCTCATATGGCTTCAATCCTGATGTAAAATAAGATTTATTAAAATTAGCTAAAATTAATAAGACCGCTAATATGTTTTGCTTTAGTTTCATTTTTGAAGGATCAATCCAATGTCAACAAATGACAAACTTAAACTAATATTATTTTTCTAAATAATAAAATATTTTGTTTTATTACTTTTCTTAGTAAGTTGCTTTATAGCTACTTATGTTTTATTGTTTTAGATAAAAATCAGTCATTTCAAGTTTGAAAAACAAACTGTAACCTTGAAACTGTATTTATGTGCTTTCAGACTAGTTTTTTAGGTTCAGCTAACTTCACACTAGAGTTATTTATGTTCAGCTGCCTTCACAATAGAATTGTTAAGGTTTAAGTGCCTTTACACTTTAGTTCTCAAGGTCCAAGTGCTTTAACACTTGCGTTTTTTAGTTTGAGGTGCCTTCACGCTAATTTTTAAATTCAGGTTCCTTCACATTAGAGTGTTTGAGGTTCGGCTGCTTTGACATTTAAGTTTTACTTTCAGCTAGCTTTAAACCAGATTTTCGAAGTTCAGCTTACTTCACACTAGAATTGTTGAGGTTCAGGTGCTTTAACACTAGCATTTTTAGTTTTAAGTGTCTTCATATTTGTTATTTTTTGGTTAAGATGCCTTCACAATAATTTTTATATTCAGGTTCCTTCACATTAGAATGTTTGAGGTTCAGGTGCCTTCACATTTAAGTTTTTAAGGTTCAGCCAGCTTTACTCTATATTTTCGAAGTTCAGCTTCATTTACATTAGAGTTGTAAAGGTTCAGGTGCCTTCACATTTAAGTTTTTAAGGTTCAGCCAGCTTCACACTTGATTTTCAATGTTCAGGTGTCTTCACACTAGATTTACAAACCAAATCCATCAACAATTTAACCCAATAATCCAAATTTAATCCACAAATCCCCTCAACAATCTGAATATCCTCTAAAAATCCTCCCCGAAGCAATACAAATTATATATGTGTGAATCTTTAAAGCTCAACATTCCTTTCGTTACGTAATCATTGTGACAACTTTCGTCCGCTTCATTGTCGTCTTCCTCAATTCACAGCTCTTCCATTCCACATTCAACTGATTTCCCAGTTGTCATGCTTTGCACACACCTTCAATAACATTGCTTTTTATCTTATTCGCTTCTTTTTTTCTCCTTTTTTATGGACAATTTAAATTCATTTTTTACCGTCGTCACTGTGCGATATGCTGTGCTGTGTACTGAAGACGGAAAGAAAAATAACAAAACGGTGGTCGTTAAAAGATATGACGGAAGGGAAAACTACAAAGTCATTGGGCAAGATTTCCTCGCATTTTAGCAGGGCTTATGGGGGATTGAGGATTATTTGCTGCACTTTGAGTCAATAGGTTAACCTAGTCTTACCTAACCTGGTCTAAAAAAGCCTAACCTTACATTTGACAAACGTGCGCCATTTTGGGCGAGACAGTAAACTGATTCCCTGAATATAGTGCACGTTTGAATTCGCTTAGTTTGTTCATTGTTTGAACTGCCTTAAGAATAAACTTTTGACAAGATTGCAAATTACAAAGAATAGATTCAAATCATTAAGCGCTTCTTTTGATAATAATCCTACAGTAGTTTTAACTTACTGCACAGTTCTGTATGTGTGGTTCATGATGAGCCAAATGAGGAAGAATTTTAAATGACAATGCGGATGGAATGAATAAATAAAGAAGGAGAAAAGGGAAACAGATGAGAAAAGGAGTCCAATTTATGAATTTATTAAAGCCCGACCTTGAAAATTATCTTTAAGAGAAACTATTTAATGCAAAATGGTGCATTTTTATAAGTTTTTCTTCCCGAGATTCGAGACTGATTCATGGCTAATAAGCACAACATTTAAGACTATGCAAACATCCATAAAATCCACATTTAATCTCATCCAATAAAAAATCATCATCATTAATTCAAATTGCCTCCAATTCATCCAAATTACCTTCCTAATCCTCTCAGCACAACAAAAAGTGCTTAAAACTAAGCACATATCCATTAAGTATCATCATTAGCCTCTCGGATGCGCTGCTTTATGTTCATCATAGCCAAAACTTTTATTCTCACTCTTTCAAGTATCACTTTAAATCAATAATCTCCGACTCTCCTTGATCCTTTTTTTTCGTATTCTTTTTCCTTATCACTTAATGCCTCTTTTTGGGCTTGTTCACCTTTCATCTCATGTGGAAATTTCAAGATATTTTTTTTTGCTTTGGAAGTTGTTTTTTCTCAAGGGATTGAATTTTTAGATGGAAGTTGAACTGGTAAGCGTTGTTAAGTTTTGTCGATTTGTCAAAAATAAAGAACTTACATGAGCATGTTCTATTTTAGTACATTGGTTTACTATATTACTAGATCGTTTTACTATTTTAGTAGATTGGTTTGCTATTTTAGTAGATCAGTTAACTATTTTAGTAGATCGGTTTCCTATTTCAGTAGATCGATTTACTATTTTAGTAGATCGGTTCACTATTTTAGTAGATCGTTTTACTATTTTAGTAGATCAGTTTACTATTTTAGTAGATCAGTTTACTATTTTAGTAGATCAGTTTAGTATTTTGGTAGATCGATTTACTATTTTAGTAGATCGGTTCACTATTTTAGTAGATCGTTTTACTATTTTAGTAGATCAGTTTACTATTTTAGTAGATCGGTTTACTATTTTAGTAGATCAGTTTACTATTTTAGTAGATCAGTTTACTATTTTAGTAGATTGGTAAAGACGCTTTATTCACAATGCACTCTTAATGGAGTTCCTACTAAATTTATGTTTTTTTATTCTATTAAACTTTTTTCACATCTTCTTCATTTTAGGTGCCAAAAAGTGCTCTTTTTGTAAGTGTCAAAAAGGCTAAAGGATAAATTTACTTTTTTTGTCAGTCGATGAAAATTGTTTAACGAGCCAGTCAAGATATTTTTAGTTGTTGTATTAAAGAGCAGTAACTCAGAGCAACAGGAGACTACAATATGTCATTGATGCTTGCTTTGATTTTGAAGAGCTATGTGACATGCTTTGTTGTTTATAAATAAAACAATTCTCATTGGATAAACTGTACAAGCGAAACTCAGTTCTTATCAATAATGTTGTTTTGTTTGTTCTCTTGACTCTATAAGTCGGTCAGTAATCAGTTTTAATGAGAATTCTGAATAATCTGGCATGTAGCTAGGCGGAAATGAGGAACAAAGAAAACAAATTCTGAAAATTGTGTATAATTTATTATGATTTAAAGAGAACGAAATCAAAAGTCTAGAAACTAGTGAGGTTGTGGGCAGGATCCCCAAAAAAACAATTCTGACTACACATCTGCTACTCATGCATAATCAAATGAAAGAATTCACAATCTCGACTTGAAAAGTATCACATTTGAGATTTAATTTAGCTCTGAATTAATTATTTATTCAGTTTTGGTAGCTTAAGAGTTAAAGTTAATTTTATTTGAATTATTAAGCTTGACTTTTGCATTGGACATTAAAAGACCATGGACAGGACAGTCGTGTAAGTTATCTTGCATCATTTTTACTTCTTTCATTAATGATCCTCAATACTAAAGTTAAACTTACTATAATTTTACCATTAAGTGTCTTTATTCATCTATTGATCATCATTGGAACCACAGCATCGACTGACATTTCATGTAAATTCTCAATTAGCAATGACATTTCTATTGTTGGTCATCTTTATCAATGCTCAGTGGACGACGATCCAATGATAACGACTCATGAGTCAGCAAAACTCACATCAGTCAATGGAAATCACACAGACTTAAAATCCAACGATAATGTGACTGGATTCTATGCAATTAATAAGAATATTCAGCATTTCCCACAAAATTTAGACACATTTTTTCCTAACCTCAAACTCATCAGCATTTGGGCTTGTGGATTGACGGAAGTTCATCAAAATGACCTTAAAAATTTAACAAATTTAATTTATTTTGATTTAATATCGAACGGAATTGAAGTCATCGAGGAAGGCTTGTTTGAGTATAATCCGAAATTAGAGGCTGTTGGTCTGATTGACAGCTCGATTGTCCATATTGATCATAAAGTCTTCGATGGTTTGAGTCATTTGAAGTATCTTTGGTTGGGAGGAATTCCTTGTTTGGATATAAATGTGAATAACTCTAGTGAAATGGTCAAGGAAGCTATAAAAGTCTTGAAATACAATTGCACAAATTCAGAGGTTCTGGTGCTGGAAGAAGAAATTGAGGAATTGAAAAGTGAGGTTAAAAATTTGAATTTGAAAGATTTTGGCGGGAAAATTAAAAATGACTCAGATTTTGGCGGGAAAAATAAAAATGATTCATATTTTGGCGGGAAAATTAAAATTGACTCAGATTTTGGCGAGAAAATTAAAAATGACTCAAATTTTGGAGGGAAAAATAAAAATGACTCAAATTTTGGAGCACAAACTGTCAATTTATCTGAGAAATTCGAATCGTTTGCCATAAAGTACCAAAATTTTGACAATTCATTCAAAAATTCAAAGTTTTCAAGCTTTCGACCTTTAAATCAAAAATATACGGACCTTAATTCATCCCTAAACTGCACAAATTGCACTCAAATCATCTCAAAAGTTGGCATCCTAGACGATAATTTGACCATCTTAGACAAAAAAATTGCAGCCAGATTTGAGGACCTAAAATTTTCTCAATGTGGTGTCAAAAAGTTCATCATTGAGACAAAACAATCTCAAAACAGCATTAAAAGTTTAATAATCGAGATTAAACAGAAACAATTGGCCACAGTTAATGGAATCATGGCTTCGTCCGATGATTTTGTCAAAAAATTAGCACAACTTCAAACTAATCAAAATAAAGCCAAAGATAGCCTCAGTTGGGCAATAAACCAGGTTAAAAATAAAGTCGGTGAGATTGCAAAATTACAAGTCGCGTCAGTTCCCCAAATTAGAGCTTTAATTAACAACCTTACAAGTAGTCAAGATTACTTTTCTTGGTATAAATTGAATGAAGTAAAGATTGGACAAAATGAAGTCAAAGATTTGATAAAATCTAAGCTGAATGAGCATAAGTACATGATTAATGAGCTGAAGACATCAATAATTGATGAATTGAAGCTTGAACATGCTGAAAATCAAAAAAATTTAACACAAATTTCTTTATTTTTTGAGCTAACCTCAAAAGTTGATGACTTACAGCTTTCAATGACACAGCTGAGTCAAGTACAGAATGACACATTTGAGATGCTTGAAAATCAAAGGTTGGATCAAGAGACTTACAAAATATCTCCAAATGAAGCGCTTAATGCGATTGAGGAACTGAAAATAGCTATGAATGCATCTATGGAAGTGGTTGCAGTCTCTTTTGAAGATCTAAAGGCAACTCAAGAGACCATTGTGTCCTCAAATGAGAAAATACAGCAATCGTTGGATGATCTGGTTGCTAAGTTAAGTGAGAGCACCCAAAGTACTAGCACACCAACTCAGGATAATGAAATCAACAGCTATGAAGACAAATTTATGATTTTTGAAGAGAAAATGTCGAAGAAATTCGAACAAAACCTCAAAGAAGCTGAGGAACGATTAATGGCAAAGTTTGAGGAAGTACTAGAAGAAAAATTGGGATCAATTCTTGACAAGAACTTGAAAAGATAATGAAGAGACAACTTGTAGATCAATCTTAGGCTTTGTGAATATTTAATTAAAATTTGAACTTGTTTTTTGCAATTAGAGTAGATTTTTTTTGTAGTTCTTCTAGCTTTTTAAATTGTCCTAGATTTTTTCTAATTAGAATAGATTTCTTGTAATTGTACTAGATTTTTTGTAACTGTACTAGATTTTTTGTTATTGTACTAGATTTTTTTTGTAGTTTTTCTAGCTTTTTAAATTGTCCTAGATTTTTTCTAATTAGAATAGATTTCTTGTAATTGTACTAGATTTTTTGTAACTGTACTAGTTTTTTGTTTTTGTACTAGATTTTTTGTAGTTCTTCTAGCTTTTTAAATTGTCCTAGATTTTTTCTAATTAGAATAGATTTTTTGTAACTGTACTAGATTTATTGTTATTGTCCTAGATTTTTTTGTAGTTTTTATAGCTTTTTAAATTGTCCTAGATTTTTTCTAATTAGAATAGATTTCTTGTAATTGTACTAGATTTTTTGTAACTGTACTAGATTTTTTGTTATTGTACTAGATTTTTTTGTAGTTCTTCTATCCTTTTAAATTGTCCTAGATTTTTAATAATTAAAATAGATTTTTTTGTAATTGTACTAGATTTTTTGTAACTGTACTAGATTTTTTGTTATTGTACTAGATTTTTTTGTCGTTCTTCTAGCTTTTTAAATTGTCCTAGATTTTCTCTAATTAGAATATATTTCTTGTAATTGTACTAGATTTTTTGTAACTGTTCTAGATTTTTTATTGTACTAGATTTTTGAAATTGTACTATGTTTTTGTTAGTTGTACTAGATTTTTTCATAATAGGTCAGAATTACTTAAAATTCGACTAGATTTTTCCTAAATTTGGAATAGATTTTTAAAAAAAATGGAATAGATTTTCTTAGAAGTGGACTAGTTTTTTCATAAATAGTACTAGATTTTCTCGTGGATTAATCTAGATTTTTTTTATGATTTAAGATACCTTATTAAAAATTGTACTAGATTTAATCCAACTCTTTTAAAAATGTACTACAAACTTTTTCAAGTTTGCATTAGATTTTCTCATAAATATACAAAAATTTTCAGTTTCTCAATAAATAAAGAAACGTTAAACAAATAAATTCTTTCTCATTCTCTAATTCCAAAACCAATGCTCCCTCTCAGGAACCCCAAAAATCCAATTCTCTTCCACTCTCTCTGGTCAACTTTTCATTCAGTTCTTTACTCCAACGCACATTCATAAACATTTACCCACGCCACAATTAATAAACAATAAATAATTCACGAGACGTTGAGGCAACAAGGAGACACGTTCGTCTGTCTCGCTTACTCGATCTTGACAAGCTGCTTGTTTATTTTTAAAATGATTCTTTTTTTCTTCTTTGTCCTTTGTGTGCTTGGAGGTGGATTATTGACTCCTTGAGGTTTATTACTAAATTTGATTTTTTTTATCAATTTTTTTCTTTTCTACATCTAAATTTTCACGGTTTTTTAACTCAAAATCTAACGTTTTCTTAAAATTCAAATTTTTAACGATTTTTTTAAATTCAAAAATTTAACGGATTTCTCTTATTCAAAATTACATCTTTATTGATTTGCCTTCATCAATAAAGTCTCTATGTAATTACCCACAGCAATATCGATTCATGCACGCATTAATTACAATTCTAACCTCCAAAATTACAGGTGTAAGTGAGCCCTTAACAACCGCCCTTCAATTGTGACGACAGCAGTACGTGAAAATATGTGAAAAGAAAGTAAAATTCACAACAATTTTCTAAATGTATAAATGGATTTGAAAGAAAAATTCTCGTTTTGCGTGTCGCGACATTTAAAAATTTATTATCGCATATAAATCACAATTCTTCCTTTTCATATGCTTTATTAGCTTTTATTTGTTGACTTATTAATTATGGTGCTGGGTGTTGGAGGTGCAATATGAAGGCAAAGTGGAAAATATTGTCAAAATGTCAAAATTCAATTAGAAAAATGCCAGAATTTTGACAAAAAATTATAAAATATTGTAAAACTCACGTCAAGCAAAAATGCGCCTTAGCCACTCGTTTCCAATCTGATTTCTTACTTCCCACGATAATAAATGAAGGAATTTACAAAAACTGACCATTTAATTACCAGTTTCAATACCATTTAACCCCTTAAGTGCTTTGCATTCTCAAAATTCCGCTTTCATTTTTATTTCCAGGAATTTTTCGACATTTTTCCACGTCAATCTAAAGTTGTTATTTTCACAAAATGTCATTATTCAGTTTATTTTATTCCTCATACATGCTCACTTGTGCTGAATATGCTATCCGAGGTTTATTATGATGTCAAAGCTTTTTTTATGTTCTGAATTATAAAAAAAAAAAAAAATCTTGCACGTGTACTTTTTTTCATGCTTGTCGTTAAATTTTTTAAGGACTTGGGAACAATTTTTTTTTCTACGAAGTTAGAAAGTTCAAAAATTTGCAGATTTAAAGGATATTTTTTTATGTTTTATTAACTGTTGATCACTTTGTAAGTTCATATATGTAATATTTGAATTATTAAAGCTTGACGTCAGTCCTTCTTTGCATAAATAAAGCTAAGAGTCTGTCAAGCTGAGCGTTTGTCAAGTTAAGCATCACTAAAGCTGATCTTCAGTCAAACAGAGCATAAATCAAGTTGATCTTAAGACAATCCTAGCGTCACTCAAGCTGAGTGTCATTCAAGTTGAGCATCAGTCAAGCTGAGCATCACTCGAGCTGAGCGTCATTCAAGTTGAGCATCCGTTAAGCTGAGCATCACTCGAGCTGAGCGTCATTCAAGTTGAGCATCTGCCAAGCTGAGCATCACTCAAGCTGAGCGTCATTCAAGTAAAGCATCCGTCAAGCTTAGTATCACTCAAGCCGAGCGTCATTCAATCTGAGCATCATTCAAACTGAGCGTCATTCAAGTTGAGCATTACTTAAGCTGAGCATCATTCAAGCTGAGCATCACTTAAGCTGAGCTTCAGTCAAGCTAAAAATCACTCAGGCTGAGCAGCAGTCAAACTACTAATTGCTTTGACCCTTCCAAAAAGGCCAATTTCATTTCCATATCCCTTAAAAGCCTGTTATTGCACCTCTCTAATCACCACTCAGTCATGCAAACACAAAATACGAAAAGAAAAAAGCACGAACAATTCATATTCCATTGTGAATGGCTCATGAATATCAATTGATGACTATTTGTTGTCAACGCACGGCTCATAGATGTAATAAATAACAAATCAATAAGAAAAATGGAATGGACTTGGAATTGGACTATAAGCAATTGTCACATATTGTGTGTGAATGAATAATTAAGTGGATGTTAATAATAGACATTTGTTACCTTTCGTATTGAGGCTAATGAAAGTATGAAAATAAAGTCAATCGATGAATCGCTTTTTGGAGGTAAAAATTAATTTCTCAACCGTTTTTCGAGTGCAATTGGATTTGAGTTAAGTGATTTTACTTGGAAATGGTTGAAGGCTGAAAATGTTGATTAATTTCGATAGATTAATTGAATTTTGGATTGAATTAGGACTGTTCATACAAAAGCTTGACTTGACTGGCGTTTAGCTTGACTAGCGCTTAGCTTGATTGACGCTCAGCTTAATTGAAGCTTAGCTTGGTTGACGCTCAGCTTGGTTAATGCTCAGCTTTGTTGACGCTCGGCTCGATTGATTTTAAGCTTGACTGACGCTAAGCTTGATTAACGCTCAGCTTAATTGACACTCAATTGATTGATGCTCGGCTTTACTCACGCTCAGCTTGATTAACGCTCAGCTTGATTGATGTTAAGCTTGACTGACGCTCAGTTTGGTTGACGCATAGCTTAACTGACCCTTAGCTTGCCCGATGCTCAGCTTTGTTGACGCTCAGCTTAGTTGAAGCAAAGCTTTGTTGACGCTAAGTTTGCATAAAATACAACATATTCGAGATAAAATTCCAAACATAAAGCTAAATGCATTTCAGGAATGCCTGTGCATAAAAGCTTTCAATTTTAAAAAAAATCTCATTTTCTTATTCCTTCAATTTCCTCGCATGACTGTAAATATTTCATTCCTTAACATTCTAAAGTCAACAATTTCCTCTTTTTATTCCCACTTTTTTTCATTTCATTTCAAATTCCTTTGAAAAATTCCCGCTTTTTCCATTCCCTTAATTTTCATACACACGGCCTTTCATTTTCCCATTCACAAATTGATTGACGTCATCTGCATTGCAGTGTCAGTGTTGCACATATCAACATTTTTTTTAGAACAACACAAAGTTCATTGAAATGTGAATGACATTTGTGCCGGAGAACGGGAAACTTCAAAAGGATTTTCATTCGTCTTAAAATGGAAAATTTTCTCAATTGAAAGCAGACATTAGTAGATAAATGGGAAATAAGGCACGTCTGATGAGAAAATTTAATTTTCTTAAAAGTTTTTCTTTTCTTGTTTTGATGCAGGATAAGTTTTTTTGTTGTCAAATTGCTAATAAATTTGAAGTAAATGAGGGATGAATTTTAAATTTTTTTGGGGGTATTTAACCTCAAAATAATTTTTTTCCCGCCAAAAAAATCCAACATAACCTCAAAATAATTTTGAAACCCCCAACTCCTATCAAAGATGAAATCTCAGCTCACTTTCATGTCACGTTCTGACAATATCTCATAATTTTTCCTCATCTGTATCGACAATTCATTCATCATCAATATTGAAATTGCCAAGTTGTGCGTTAATTTTATGTAAAATCATGCATGAAAAAGGGTTACATGGAGAAAAAATAAGGAAGGATGTTCAAGAAGCAATTGAGGATATATTGTGATTGGGATTTTATAAGGAAACTTTTGATTGCCAAAGGATGGTTGTCTTTAGGTAAGTTGGTACGATATGGGAACAGAGATTTAGACTCAAATATCTATGCGTTGATCTGGCTGGGAGTCTTTTAGGCTGAGAGTTTTTCTTTCGAAACCTTTTGCAGGCTGAACGTTTTTCAGGCTGAGA